AATGCAATTTCTACTATAATAAATTTGTTTTATTTATATATTCACCATATATTTTGACCACACCACATATAACCCATTACTTTAAAAAGTGTTAGCAGAAAAATTCTTAATACTTACTGAAAGACAAAAAGTCAATTTCCTAGTCAATTAAAGGGAAGTATAATTTGTGGACACACACTAATGAGTCAATAGTCACAAACTAAGAAAGAGTCAAAGAACCTTCCTTTTATAACCTTTATAACTCTAGATAAAAAGACACAGGTCAACATGTTGTACCTTCTTCCTGTTACAAGTATTATTACACAAATTAACAGAAAAACAAATTACACAAATCCTATTTTAACATGTGTATCACTATACAATTCTCTTGCATAATATGGTAATTTACCTATCATCAGATAGCAGTGGGCTGGTTCCATCAATAACTACTATGTCATTTACTAAGTGTGAGCCAAGTGAGAATGATGAAAAATTATTAGTGGAGAACTCTAAGGAGAAATCATTAGAGTTTAGAAAACTGGGATCCTTTTAGATTAAAACCTGTTATAAGGCTGACAATTACCCAGAGAAGTAGACAGAACATATTGCTTATATCAAGTAAGTCCTTCACCTCCTTCATGTCAGAGCTCAAATCCAGCTTACCACCTAAGTTACCCCAAAAGCAGCTCCAACTGCTAGTACATGGAGTCAAATGCTTGTGAAGAAGGAGTCCAGATATTTCCTGTGAGAAAACACATCACCACTGTCCACTAGTATGGTGCTTTCCCGGGTCTTCGCATGCTAGTGCCTTCAGTTACTTCATTCAGTAATATTAAGGCACCCACGTTTCCTTCCATACTCAGAGAGCAGCAAAAATGTGCTACAACCTCACAAAACTTAGATATATTGACTAAAATGTGCCTTGATCTCTGAGTCCAATCCTAAAAGGTGTGAAGCAGTTGTTAAGAGGCTCACATGCCTTAAATGCCTCTGAGGGAGAAAACAGACCAGCAACTTTGATAAGTCAATTAAAGGTAAGTATAATTTGTAGGCAGTCTATAGAAGAGGTCATTCCTATATCATTACGATAGAGGATTACAGAGGATGTACATCACTTTTATGTTCATATATGGAACCACTTGAAAGAAAACACCCTAGGATCCTGTGGAAGTTATAAGAGGAATATAATCAGAATAAAATGCTCCTTTCTGACAATCAACTTTTATATTGATTGTCTATGATAACCCTGTCACCATAACATTGTAGAGCTATTTCATAAAACCAAGCTCACAATTGGTTTAAAACTATCACACACTAAAGTGTGAAAAACAGAAGGCAATATTTACTGTTTGCTACTACCCAGTGCTCTATATATGTGTTAAATCTCTTCTTTCAAAAATATTCACAACTATGTAAGGTGAGCACTGATGGAGAAAGACTCAGAGATCTCAGAAAACCTGTTCAATCAAAATGGAGGATAGATATTAGGAAGTAGGAAGAACATGTTCAAACGGTAAGGAGAACAAGACAAGAGGGAGGAAGGGGGCTGGGGATTTAGCTCAGCGGCAAAAGCGCCTGCCTGGCAAGCGCAAGGTCGTGAGTTCGGTTCCTGGTACCGGAGAAAAACCGAAAAACCAAAAAAAAAAAAAAAAAAAAAAAAGAGGGAGGAAGGAGAGAAGAGAAAGTGATTTAGTGGAAAAAGAATTGAATGAAAAAAATGGAAGAATAGCTTTTGAAAATGAGGAAGAGCCAAAGGTTTGGAGGCAGGTTAGGGAGAACAAAAAAGAATTAAGATGTGTTAAGTACATGTACAAGTCCCACATAAGGAAGATAGTCATCATGTACTACAAACACGTAGTACCAAAAAAAAAGAGAGAGAAACTGCAATCAGGCTTTTGAGTAATAAATAAAATAAATAAATAACTGGCTCAAGGTCACAAGTGAGTCTTAAATACCATTCTGCCTCTAACTTCTTTATTATAAATTATTCATAATGGAACTTCAAATACATTTTAAGAAGACAATGTAGCCTAAAATATTTAAATTGAAAAAAATTGAGTTTACTACATGTATGCTTTAAAAGAAAAAGAAAATCCTATACACATTCCAACAAGTTTTAGTATTCTTGCCAAGAAAGAAAAAAATAAATAAAATAAAAGTGAATTGATTCCAACTACTCTATAATTTCATTTATATTTAGAATATGAACAGAGCTAGGCATGAGTATGTAATGAATATATATGTGTATGTCTCTCTGTGTGTATAACACCCACATTATTCAAAGCTCCCAAAAATGTGGAGTTTGTTCCAATCCTTCTCTATTTTGTCTACTTTAAGAATTCTTTGCAATATGCTTATGTAAATACTGATTTAGTTGCTGTTCTCATTTCTCAAATCTGCTTTTAAATGGATTGGAAAAGTGACAGACCTAAGCAGACATTTTTGGAACACAAAACCAAGGAGACATAAACAAATACAACTAGATAAAAAGGGAAAAAAACCCCAGAAAATGAAGGGTTCTTAAAGCCCTTTGAACTTATCATTACTGATATATTAAAAGAGATGAACAGAAAAAAAATATATTGATTCTGCCTAAGGGTAGATGAGTGTGTACATCTCACACATAGACATACACAGGAACTTGCATGCGCGTACACTCTGGCAAATGTCTTCTAACAAAGCACACACAAACAGCCTTTCACCTTAGTTTACTAAAAGCTCCCTACAAGCATGAAATCTAAACAACAGAAGATTCTGAAGTTAAGAGCGATGTTGGGCGTGGGAGCATGTTTAAGGAAACAGTTCCAGGTTGTTGGGCCCAACATGAAGTACTTCCAGATTTTTTTATACCAGGATTCACTTTATGATTCAATTACTTTAATAGCTCATTGACTCTGTAGGTGATTTACCTCCATTTACATTTTAAAGAAATGCTGGAAAGGATTAAAGACAGACTCAAGATGTTACTATTCTGCTTACCTGATGCTAAATCTTCTTTACAAACGTAAGTAAACAGTTATTATGACATTACAGATCACAAAACAATGCAATGAAAATACTGCCAATGACAATAGATGTTGTAAAAATATCATTTCTACTTAGTGAAATACTCCAATATTGTATTTAATACCTAAAACTAAATATTACATGCAATACTGTTGGAATGCGAGTTGAAACAGAGACTACTTTTGATGAGGACTTGATAACAAAATCAATGCATTTTGCATTTTGATAACATAACAATCACATTATTGAAAACACATTATAAGGGGGCATGTTTTCATATTTGAGAGTTACACATACATCTGGTATATATCTTCTCCATGTAAGCTAATAACATGATAGGTTTTGATATAAGGAAAACAAGTCCATGAGCCATTTTACCAAAATAAGGACAAACTTTTATGCTTATTCAATATTGTCTGTTAAATATTTTACATTCCTAAAATACCTTCCCCATAGAATGTTTTAATTATTACAGAAAAAAAATAAACATTACCAGAGAGAAAAGTGAAGAAAAGAAAAATGAAAATCACGTTGTTACTAGAAATGACAAAATTTCTTTTAAAATAATTGTATGGAATAAAAAATACTGGAATGTTCAGTCCAGAAGTGAACAAGGCTAAGGTGGTGGCTTTGGCCTTGTTTCTGCAGAAGAAAGGAAAGAGGAAGAATTTAGCTTTTGGATGGAGAAGAGACATGCAGCCTCCAGATTTTCCTTCCAGCATCTCAACCCACATCCAGGCTGGTGTGAAGAGATGACAGATGGGACTAAGTCTGTTCTTTCAACTGCTGAAGCAAGATCTGAATGTATCCTGTTTGTTTCTATAACATGAATATTCAGCCACAATAAGTAGGAGCAATGCTAAGCGTGCTAACTGTATTAAGCAGGTCTCAAATCTTCTTTATCCTTTTCTGCCATATACTATAGATTAAGATTTTTAAAAAATCAAGATGTAGAAAATTCACTTTCTGCCAAAATTCACTTTCTCAGGAAAGATTCATTTATTCAATGAAATGATCTAGTTTTCATACATTTAATGTACATGTATTTAGAGAAATGTGTGAGCAGAAAAATAAGAGTAGTGAGCATGTCAGAGGAGGAAAAGAGTGAAAAGCAGTTACAAAGAAATAGTACTTATTTTCCACTTTATTTTCATGTTTTTATTATTTTCTCAGGAAATACTAAACAGGCATTACAGTTATTACAGTATTAGTGTTCCTCATTTAGAATACTAATCAGGTTGCCCTAAATCCCACCATAAACTTCTACATTCAGAAGTTATCCTGGTGTGCAAAGAAAACTTATTTATAATTCTTTCCCACTTATATCTTGAAAATGATTATTAAATCCAAAGCGATAATTTTCTATAAAGAAAGTGATAATTTCTCTGTGAATGAAAATATTTTGGTAATTCTTGAAATACATCATATCCTTCACCCCTCCCCCAAGGGAGAGAGAATAAGTTCTAAAAAAATTACATCTATATTTGCTAAAATGAGTTTAATGATTGCTACAAAGAAAATCTATAGGATAGCTGCTTGGACTGTGATGGAAAACATGCACTGAAGCACCACCTTTTATAAAAAAGGCAATTTATTGTATATACAGGAAGTCCTTTAAGAAATCTTCAAAGTGAGTACGTGCCTCAAAGCATAATGTGAATTCCATCCTCTCCATGATACTTCTCATTAAAGAAACAATTTTGGAGCAAAGGTGATATGAGTGATCCACTTCCCCTGTGTCCACTTGCAATGCTATGTATAGGGCAATGCTCTAGGTGCTAGGAACTAGACACACATCTCAAGACTGATGATCCCTAGAGTCCAGCAGGTTATGTCCTTTAAAAATAAAAGAGTTTTTAGTAATAGGATGGAAATCAGAAATGTGCCTCCTTTTTAGGACTGAGAGGGGCTTTCTTAAGATTTTTTTTTTCTTTTTTACATCCTAATGAGCATTCATTATAGAAGTGAATCAATGCCAAAGCAAAGCACATATGTGGAAGTTGAGATAGACTTACGAAGTAGCCTGTTCCCAAGCTGGAAGGAGCTGAACTCTGTAATAAAGCATAAAGACAAAGTGGAAAATCAGCAATGGTTTTTAACACGTTCCAATCCACACAGCTCATTACCAGCCCTTTGCAGGCTTTTCATCACTACATCACATCACCAGCGTGTGCTGCCCCTTGTCATCTGCTACTGATACAAACACTGTGTTGCTTAATTTTCCCCTTTACATCTCTCAACAACTCAGAGATGCTAACGTGCTATTTACTGAATTCCAAGCTTCTGCGGTGGATGTAATTGCCAATTTATTTGACAGGCAGCTGGGTAATGAATTAATGATGGCATTTCGCCCTGCACTGAGACTAAACAGACACGCATCAGCCTGCCTCCCTGACTTGCTGACATTCAATGCCCTGGTCTCAAGCTACTCAGTTTTGTGGCCGCAAAGGGGCAGGCAAGAGGAAAAAGCCCAGACTGACTTGAAAATAAAAAGCCCAATGGGTTTGGATGACTTTTCCAGTGTATGACCTACTTGCCAGTTTATTCCCTAAAGGCACCAGTTAGTACACACACAGTACTTTTCAAAAATGAGACATTTTGTAAACATAATTAGTATACTAAAATGCAAAGAATGTGTGGGCAAAGAGAAGCTGTGAAAAGCACCATTTTCTGAAGGTTTTGGTTATAAGAAATATCAATCTAGGCAGCCATAATTCTGACACACAGGGAAGCAAAAAAGCAGGAATTCTGAAATGAATGTAGGATACAGCTTATTTAGAGAAAAAGAGTGAAAAAGAGAACACTGTTTGTATTAAAAACTTGTCAAGGTTCTTTGTTTGCATGCTTTTTCATTCCTAAAACCTCTCCTTACAAGTTCCTTCACTTTCAGCATCCTCTCTGTGATTAAGAGAGGTCCCAGATAAATTTGAAATAAAAATAAAGCCAGTGATGAGTTAATTTTCAGGTCTTACCTAAGCATGCTTGTACCAGGAAGGTATTTCACCTGAGGAGCATAGGTTAGGTGCTACATCTTCTCCAGGGTGGCCTGACCTCCTCCTTGATGAAATTATTAGGTTCACTTTTAGCTCTTGCACCTCCACATCTTGACCCCTACTCTATAATCCACAAGCAGAAAGAACTATTGGGCATATTCATCATTGCTTCCTCAGAGATTAGCAAAATGCCTTGCATGAAAGATGCATTTAATGAGCATTTGTTGAATTAATGTATAAATAAATGAATAAATGAACTTTATAGGTTAAAAAAAAAAAGGCTCAGGAGAATTTGACATCTCCATAAATACAGCGGATGTGATTCTTTTAATCCATAACTACCTGAGAAGGAAATACAGGGATATAACAAAGTCCACATTAAACAAGGGCAACAGGCTTCAGAACATTCCTAAGTACAGGTAGGAAAGCAAAACTACCTTCTCACAGTGTTTTAGACACATTCAAAAGGAATGAAACACCAGAGATGTGTGATCTTACACACTATAGTTGGTTTTTAAAATCTTGCTTCGTTCTTGATCCTATCAGCTGTATGGAGAGATCTACAGTAGTCATACAGACTGGCTCTCAGACCAGTGACTAAGCCATGTGACAGAATCACCCTATTTTCAGCACCCACAGCCCTCCAAGGAGGAGGTGAAGGCAAAAGCCATTAGGTCTCTACCTTCCTGAAGTCATGTTCCTGGGAAGTAAGCCCATGTTAGGATGAATTACTTAGACTACAAGATTTGTTTATGCCATTCACCCACTTCCTAAAAATATATTTTATCTCAGAGGGAGAAGTACCCCCACCAAACCCACCTCCCCCCCACATACACATCATCTTATTGTATACCACGGAAAATTACATCCTCCAGGTCTAGGAAAACTCTGTTATGCTCATTTTGCATATATATTGTACATTACTCAGGGAGCTGGGTGGAGAAGGCTTTGTTGTGCATATTTGTTCTGGCTATTGTTTATGCAGGTCTGACTGAATGAGAGAACAGTGGGTATCATTTCAATTTCTGATGTCAACATCAAATTACTTATTTAATTTCATGCCTGGCGAAGCATTGTATAGCTACACGCAGAATCATTTCACTTCATTTGTTATGCTGTGCTTTCGTGGCGATTGGCTTGCCTTCCAACTGACAGCTTTAATTACGACATGAATTTGATTGCACTGCTGAGGAATTAACATAATGCAACAAAGCATTTAAGCACCCTGTCTTATAACCCTTCTCCCACACACACATGGGCACATGCAAACACTGGCAGACACATGAAGGAACAGACCCTAGCTCCTCATGTATATTAAAGATTCACTGGAATTTATTTCAGCATTTGTTATAAGGTATACAGAATCTTAGAATAAGATGCTGTTCATATTTGCCAACCTACTGTACTTGCCATTTAAAAACAAAACAAAACAAAAAAAAAGTGTGGGAGATTTGTGGCATTAGCTTGTGATTTTTACTCCTGGCAGACAACTTTACAGAAGAACCCTCTTTTAAGCAACTTAGGCAAATGCCTACAGAATTGACATTTCCTCTCTTCTTATTCTTTCTCTACCACATTTTTCTTGGCTATCTGCCAGTCCCTTCAATAATAGATGGAGAATTTAAATGGAACTAATATCTATGAAATTAATAGACTTCTCTTTGCCTACTACTCAAACCCCAAAATTCTGGCTAAGGCTTTGTATTCAGTGGACACTGCCTTTCATTACCAATAGGATCCTCACCACCAAAGTATAGATAACAAGTTACCAGCAACAGAGATAAGTCAAGGTTTAACTGATTCTTATAATAAGCATTATGTATACCTTGAGGCTTTGCTATCCAAAAGACCCAGAAAATATTCTTAGTCATATATGCCCAAACTAAGGCTCTAATTATACAGCTGTAAATATCTGAAACTAAAATAATTTTCCAAGTCAGAAATTATATGAGCATCTCCAAACTACAGATAACAGATTATGCTATAAAAATGTCTTCCATACACTTTTTACAGAAATGTTTGCAAACATTTTATACTTTAAAGTGTTGTTATTCATTTACAGACATTTACTTAGGGATTGGTACAGCGTTTGCATGTTACAGGAGAAGACAGAGCTAAGAAGTAAAGCCTACACAGGCTGAAAGGTGGTGGTGCCCTATCAATTTGACAAAAATCATTCTTCAGTACTCAAATTCAGTTTAACTTGCTGTATTCCCCTGGTCCACTTCTCCTAAGAGAGGACGTCCATTTTTCTTATCTAGTGACCTCAGGCAAATTCTTTTCAACTTAGATAGCAAAACTGGCTACAGAATGAATAAAAGGCTGAGTCAAAACAAGACTTGAAAAATTAAGAGGGGATTTTAGTTTTGAAGGAAGAACCAGGCTAGGGATGATGGCACACACATCCTTAATCCTAGCAACCTGGGAGGTTGACGCCGGAGAACCACAAGTTGAGCCCAGTCTGGGCAAATTAACAAATTAAAATTTGCATGACCCTGTCTCAAAAAAAAAAGAGAGAAGAAACAAAAACTGTGTTGATTTCAGAATCATTATGTACCATATTCACTTTTATGCAGACAGTTACAGTGCTTACAGAAATGAACTTCATTCTTATTTCTTCAAGAGGTAGAGTTGCCAGATGATTCATATTTTCAATGCAGTAGGCAGAAATGAGGGCTAATAAGAAGTTTAGACATAGGGTAGACAAACATGTTTAGTGGTTGGCTTGAGAAGGCAGGGATAGGAAGAGATACCAGTCAGTGGGCTATCTGGCCTGTGATATCTGGGCTCATTATAAACCATCTCCTGTTTAATGTGGTCTTTTCATTCTGCTAGGGTTTTTATTTGTCTGTTTGAAGATTTGACCACTGCTCCAGCAATCTCTGCAAATTAGCCTCCTGGATCTCATTACGTTGTAGAGGAGAGCTTTCATAGAAACGCACTCTGCCTCAGTCTCCAAGCTACCGTGGGCTGTGGGAAAGGTAATGGGATGCATAGCTGCAACACATTTTCTGGGAAGGAGAATGTTGCTAACATTCAAATCAGCAAGTGGATATTCATTAAAAACTCATTCTCTTCTTTCTCACTAGCCCCCATCTGCCTTTCTTTGCATCTCTGTCACTAAGCCATCACTGAAGCTACTCATTAAACTCATGAAGTTAACATTTCTCTTTTAACTGCTTACTACAAGGGATTTCAGAATTGATTATCCATCTAAAATGTGTGTGTTCCACTCATTATAGATCCACACAGAGAGGCTGTGGCTAGTATTACAGCTCAGAGAGTACAGGAAGATACGTACTCCACCCATAGGTGAGCATGTATGTTCTGACCGAGGGCTAATTTAAACTGAGTATTTGGAAATTACTGAAAATTTCAAATTACGTCTGACATCCCTGTCTACCCACCTCCATGTTATGCTTCTCTCTTGGGAATAAAGAAAGAGAACCACACTAGGAATTACATGACCAAGTAAGTTTCTTATAAGGGTCACAGTACAAGTTCATTTACAGACTTCGCTTTAGAGTTTAAAAAAAAAAGTGACAATGAAAAGAGCCTAAAATTTAAAATAAATATACTGTGGAGATAAGATTATTAAAGCTAACAAAGGAACAGAAAATATATTCACCAAGGAAAACCAACTAAAACTAGAGCAACAACTTGAAAAACAAAATCAGGTGTGGAAATGCTAGGTCACTTACAATGTCAATTATTCAACTCTCTTTTCATACCCAGCTCAGACTGTCAGCAGCTCTCATGTATATTCAGTCTTCTGGTTTCTTGCCCTATTTCACTCTTGCTTTCACCCTCATTTGTAATTCTCCATATGTAAGAAATACTAAACATTTAAAAAATTTTAACTCCAATCCTTTTAAAATCTCCCACTGGATTTCTGAATAGGCTATAGTGGGTTCAACAGCAGCCATTCCTGTTCTCTCAGAACCTCAAAATGTGACTACAATGGTTAATTTTATGTTTCAACCTGACTGGACCATAGGGTGCTCAGATATTTAATTAAACATCAATCTGGGTGCTTCCGTGAGAGTATTTTTACATGA